TACCATAGACTGGGTGGTTTGTAAACAACAGAAATTTATTTCTCATAGTTCTGCAGGCAGCAGTTTGAGATCCACGTGCCAGCATGATTGGGTGAGGGCCCTCTTTCTGGAATTATACTTCTGGTGTTTTCACTGGGTGAAAGGGGCAAGGGAACTTGCTGGGTTCTCTTTTATAAGGGCACTAACTCCATTCTCAAGACCTCCACCATCCTTTTATAATCACCTTTCAAATACCATCATGTTGGGCACTAAGATTTCAAATTATTAATTTTGAGGGTGCACAAACACCCAGACTATAGCAACTACCTAAAACATAGACTGCACACAACTGAACAAATCCTGTAAGAAGGGGGAAATCATAGGAGTAGAAATGATTCTGTGAAAGGAAATTTATACCTTCTCCCTGGGGCAGTCTTTTCTACTCCAGTCTCAACTATTATCTGTGTTTATAACTCTCAGATTTGTGTCTGCAACCCACATTTTTCTTAGCACTCCAAGTCTAAAATTGCTTATTGTACATTTCCAGAAATAAACATATACACTCAACATGTGTCTCTCCTGACTCCCTAACCAGCCAGTTGGTCTTGACCTCTGGAGGGAGATCTAGAAAACTTTCCATAGGGTGCTCCCAATGACTTAGACCCAGTAGGGACTGAGCTACTCGCACACACCTCCCTTGCTGGCGTAGGCCAATGTTCCCTTTCAAGAAAAGGAGTTGGAGCCTCATTCAGAATACCACTGGGCGTCTAAGGCTGGGGACATGGAAATACTTTTGGAAAGTATATGCAAAGAAAGAACAGCAAACAGGTTGGGTGCACTACCACATGTCCTTTGCTGGTCTAGGCCAATGCAGTCCTCCAGAATGGCCTCTAGATAAACTTCCTGAAAGTGTATGCAAAGACCCTGCTTATTTAACTTACATGCAGAGTACATTATGCAAAATGTCAGGGTGCATGAAGCACAAGCTGGAATAAAGATTGCTGGGAGAAATATCAGTAACCTCAGATATGCAGATGACACCATCCTTATGGCAGAAAGCAAAGAAGAACGAAACAGCCTCTTGATGAAAGTGAAAGAGGAGAGTGAAAAAGCTGGCTTAAAACTCAAAACTCAACATTCAAAAAAACAAAGATCATGGCATCTGGTCCCATCACTTCATGGCAAATTGATGGGGAAACAATGGAAACAGTGACAGACTTTATTTTCTTGGACTCTAAAATCAGTGCAGATGGTGACTGCAGCCATGAAATTAAAAGGTGGTTACTCCTTGTAAGAAAAACCTAGATAGAAAAAAGCAGAGACATTACTTTGCCAATAAATATCTGTCTAGTCAAAGCTATGGTTTTTCCAGTAGTCATGTACAAATGTGAGAGTTGGACTATAAAGAAAGCAGAAAAAAAAAAAGAAAGCAGAGCACCAAAGAATTGATGCTTTTGAACTGTGGTGTTGGAGAAGACTCTTGAGAGTCCCTTGGACTGCAAGGAGATCCAACCAGTCCATCCTAAAGGAAATCAGTCCCGGGTGTTCATTGCAAGGACTGATGCTGAAGCTGAAACTCCAATAGTTTTGCGAACTGGTTCAAAGAACTTACTCATTGGAAAAGACCCTGATGCTGGGAAAGATTGAAGGCGGGAGGAGAAGGGGACAACAGAAGATGAGATGGTTGGATGGCATCATGGACTCAATGGATATGAATTTGAGTAAGCTCCAGGAGTTGGTGACGGAAAGGGAAGCCTGGAGGGCTATAGCCATGGGGTTCCAAAGAGTTGGACATCACTGAGCGACTGAACTGAACTGAACATAGATTAAAGAACAGTGTATGAGTAAAAGATACTGGTTTGTTCAGCCCTTATAGGTTCTGCATCTTAAGCGTAACGACTTGAAGATAGAGTCTAGGGTAAGTAAATACATAGTTCATTAACATAGCTTAAGAAAAACATTTACATAAGAAAAACGCATTGGTTATCTCAAGGTTTGAGAAAAGTTAAGTTCAGGTGGAACGAGGTTCCATCATGGCAACACCGAATTTTAAGAGCAGCCTGCTTTTAAATTTGTATAGGGAAGGGAAAAAAATCTGACACTTGTAGTTTGCTTCCTTCTGCCGCTTAAGAGAAAAAACGCCTGACACTTGTAGCCTATTTCCTCTCTTTGGAGACCCCTAGCCTTCCTGCCTGTTACCCTCTCACCAGGAATCCAGCCACTGGATCACAGGAGGGACACAGCAGCCACAGGGCTAAGAAAGTTAAATTTGTCAGGGAACTCTCCAGTTCCTCCCCGCACCCAGCCCGTCGCTCCTCCCTCCGCGGACAGGTCAGCAGCAGCTCACCCTCGGGCTTGCCCGCGGGCCCTTGCGCCAATCTGCAGCCGTCGGGCCCCACGCCCCCACTGCCGCACAGCCCTTCAGGGAGGAGCCGGACAGCAGGGGCGCCCTGCGCAGCGGAGGTTTAATATTAAAAAATTAAATATTTAATATTATTCACATCTGTAGTATATAATGTATCTTATGTAACTCAGTGGTAGAGAACAACTAGCTAATAATGTGATGAAAATTGACAATGATTGAAACATTTAAGAATGGGCCCTGGAGCTTCCTGGGCCTCGATTTCGCTAGGATTAAATGGAAAGAAGCAGTTAATTTGACTTGACATGTACTAAAGGCAAAAAACTAAAACTTTGGCAAATAACTCCAGGTTAAAAAAAAGTACTTCTAGTTCCCATACCGGGAGTCGAACCCGGGCCGCCTGGGTGAAAACCAGGAATCCTAACCGCTAGACCATATGGGAACCATTGAGAGTACGTTCCCCTTATTCGTATATATATTATCTCCGTCAGCCTTTCGTCAGCACAACCACACGCCTGCGCACTTGGGACTTTGCGCGCGCTTGTAGCATTTCTGCCTGACTGCGGCTGCGCGAGCCGGGTCTGCCTACGTAGTGTTTGTCAGCACATCTGGGCGTCTCATGAAGGGAGGGAACTCTTACTCCGGAAAGCGCGCCCTAGAACCCGACCCAGGGTGGGTGAGGAAGCGCTTGTAACCCACTTGGACCGTGGGCGCCCCCGAAGCCCAGTTTCAAACCGTAAATGAAGGAGGGCTAGTGCTTGACCTTCGATGTCAACTGACGTCTAAAACAAGAGACTTCTCTCCCCGTGGCCACCCGCCTCAGGACCAGGTTCCCAGAGAAAATCTTTTCCTAGAAAAGCAAAAACAGCGTGTTCCCCTTCACTTATTTTTTTTTTTTTCTGGAACAACAACTAGAGTTTTATTTTATTTTTTTTTCTTTATTTTTTATCACAACCATAGTGTATCTTTTTTTTTTTTTTTTTTACATGTATTCCCCATCCCGGTCCCCCCTCCCACCTCCCTCTCCACCCGATCCCTCTGGGTCTTCCCAGTGCACCAGGCCCGAGCACTTGTCTCATGCACCCAACCTGGGCTGGTGAACTGTTTCACCCTAGATAATATACGTGTTTCAATGCTGTTCTCTTGAAACATCCCACCCTCGCCTTCTCCCAGAGTCCACAAGTCTGTTCTATACATAGGAGTCTCTTTTTCTGTTTTGCACATAGGGTTATCGTTATCCCCTTCACTTATTTTGGCTTGAGAATCTCTGAAATGCAGCCTTTGTGTTGGCGGGGAGATGCCCTTTTTTCCTCCAGTCACATTGTTTCCTTGAGTGCTTCAATTAAGCTTTTCACAAAGGTAGGGTGCCCCCTCTCCAAAATTCCCCCAATCCAACCAGAAAATTTGCCCTACTGCGATTAAAGTATATATTTATTAAAGGCTCAAGAATTAAAACACTGTGGTACTTGTGTCTTAACTTACATTAAGATCAATGAAAAAAATGGAAATGCCAAAATATGGTAGGGGTATACAACACTGGGATTAATTGAAAGAAAAGAGTGGCATTTCAAATCAGCGCTAAGGATGGTCCACTGTATGTGAACTATGGTAGAAAAGAGGAAGCTGAGTGCAGGCCTCACCCCATACTTCACTTTAATACAAAAGTTCTTGAGGAAAACACTGGAGAATTCCCTTATTATCCCATCAACTGCAATCTCAAAGCCAGAAATCATAAAATAGCTACCTGATAATTTCAACTGTTCTAAGAAACTTGATTTAAACACACAGAGCTGAGAGAGGTTTCACTTTACTCATTAAGCTATTCAACTGTTCTGTGAAGTTTAATGTAACATGTTTTATAATAAAAAGTTTTAAAAAACACCACAGTAAATAAAGTTAAAACACAAAAACTGGGAAAAATACACCTCATATTATGAACAAAAAACTAACATCCCCCATAAGCTCCTAGAAACTCCTAAAAATATCAACAATCCCATAGAAAAATGAAGCCCGGACACAGTTTCTGGCCCCTCAACAAATTAAAAGATGCACACTTGAAAGGCAAAAACAGTTTTTTAAAAACCTGAATGGTCTCTTGAAAGAGTTCCTTTGAAAATCTAGGTCAGATCCTTTTTTACTTTCTGGCTTAAAACCTACTAATCATTCTGCATCTACTCAGGTATGTGTTTTTCTATCAATGCAGAATCATTCTGTCCTGATCTGTGTAGCTATGTGTTTTTTCCCCCTCCATTAAAGTCAGTTTTAAGGATCTAGAGAAACTGAAGCACCTACTTCTTGTCCTTCCCTGCCACTTGCTGTGTAGTATTTCATCCAGTAATGAAAAACCACAGCTAATTGATGCGTGAGGTTGTTATGGTTCAATGATATGAACTAACCTAACAACTTTGTGACTGCTCCACATGGATGTGTCCTAGAACAATGTAAGTTTACAAGTGGTTTCACAGTAGTAACTCTGAACATTATGCAGTTTGCCTCTTCAGACTTCCCCACCTAACAAAGTTGGAAACATGCAGACCAGAGGAGTATTAAGGAGCAGGAGTTAGTTGGGGTGGCGGGCAATCTGTGAAGGAGGAAGGCCTGATAAGGGAGCCACATAGAAGAACAGCTGTTCCCACTGCTTTGCTTCTGTGGGGACAGGTCAGGGAGCCCTGGGTTCTAGCTGCTTGAGTTTCTCCTGGAGTTCCTTGAGCTGGCTTCGACCCCAGTTGATGCGGCTCTGAAGACTGGCCATGTCTGCAGCCAGCTGCAGACCTAGAGGAGGAGAAGAGATTGTCACCATGGTATCTATGGTGCCACATGACTCAAGGGGCTCTGGACAGCCTCTGGCCTTCAAACTACTCCTAAAACATTCCAGGTACAGCTAGCATTGACTCCTTGAGAACCTCACTGGACTCATACTCTCAAGTGCTTCAGGTCATTGCTAAAATGTCACCTCCTCCTCAGATTTCCTTGACCCTCTTATAGCACCCACCAGGAACTAAAAATTCACAGTCTCGTGTCCTTATATCATTCCTTCTTTTCTCCATTATCACAGGCCCTCACTACTCTTGCCTTTTCTCCTTCTACTTGTCTTCTCTGCCCCCAAGAGTGGCCCGCAGTCTGGATCCACACCTATGTTGCTTCCACTTGATACCTCTCCTGAATAGCTGCTGTGAAGTCCTCTGGGCCCTCCACACCACCCAGTCCACTGGCCAGTCCTGTCTTCTGCCATACTGCCTGGTCACAGTGATCACTCCCTCCAGATCACACTTTACCCTCCTGATGTTGCTTCTGCCCCACTCCTTAGTCTTCTTGACTGGCCTCTTCCCTTCTTTTTCCCCTTACTTCCTGTTCACATTCCTGGGACCTCTGCTGACCTCATCCCATTTCAACTTTAATGCTGTGGCTGTGTCAGCAACTTGGGAATTTAAAACCAGTGTTATGCAGTGAGCTCTCAAATCTCTCTCTCCAGTCCAGGCCTCTTCCAAACTCCAGATCCATGTACCCAACCATCCACTCAAAATCTCTACCACACCAGGAACATACCCCAACACGACTTCTGACTTTACCTCAGCTGCTGCTCTGTGGCCCTCCCACCTCCCCTTTTCAGGCATTCTGACTACAGACCGGGCGCATCCTTCACTGCTCTCCCTCCCTTACTCCTGAATTGATCAGCAAATCCTGTGGTTTTCTACTGGAAAAAACATGCAGTTTCCCCCCACTTATCCTATCTGCCACTGTCCACACCACCTCCACTCTTGCCGACTGGCCTCCTCTCTGCCATACCAGATGCAACATCACCTCAGAGATCTGCCCTGGCTGGTCCCTGGCACCTAGAACACTGTTCCCCCAGATCACCAACAAAGGTCTTTCCTCCATCTCTTCAGAGGCCTTTCCAGGCTACCAAATATACAACAGCTCCCCTAGGCTATGCCATCCATTGCACTCTCTCTACCTTATTTTTTCATAGCAACTTTCATTGCCTGGTATTTTATTTAGGGCCTACTTATTTGTTTGCACTCAATAAAGATCCCATGAGGGTGTTATACCTTTTGTTTCCTGCTGTATCCCCAGCACCTCCTATGAACCTGAACTCTGCCAACAGCCAATAAATGCTTTTTTAAAAAACTGTAGGTGTGCAACAAGTCTGAAATGGAGAAAACCTGCAAAGCCTTTTGCAGACTAATCCCAAGCCTGGCATTAGCACTCCCGGTAAATAGAAGGTCCCTTTCAGGGTCACTCACCCTCCCGGAAGCTGGCTTGAGCTTGTCGCAGACTGTGAGGAACCAGGATCCCAAACCATTTTAAAGGGTTCTGGGGGGCTGGGGAGGAGTCTGGCTCTGGGGTCCTTGGGAGACCCTTGCGCCTGCGCAGAGCTGAAGAAAGAAAGGCTGGGGGTCTCGTTATTAATACCTGGCCGTCTTCTTGGCGACAATAAACTCTGTCTAAGCTCAAGATCCCAGAAAATACCAACTGTTGGAAAATCCGTTTTATGTTTCGGAAAATACCTTATTACAAAGAACCACCCTCCCCCTTGTGTCTGTCCACTCTTTTTTACTGACTGCCATAAAACCAGCAAATGACCCCCCTTGTTTACCTGTGAAAAAGGTACACAGACTTTTGCCATTTTGCCTGAACCTGCTGAAAGGCCAGACACACCCTTCAACTCCCCATTGTCTCATGAATGATTAACTGGGATTAGAAATTTGTCCCCCTGAAGCTAGCTAGACACAGAAATAAACATCTTCTGTTCAGCTGAGACTTCCTCTGACTGCAAAACAATTCTAACGGTAAAGGACCTCACCCATAACTTTCTATTCCCCCTATAAAACTAAGGCAAAAAAAAACCCGCTCTGCATGGGGACTTCCCTGGCGATCCAGTAGTTAAGACTTTGTCTTCCAATGCAGGGGGTGCAGGTTCAATCCCTGGTTAGGGAGCCAAGATCCCACATGACTTGCAGCCGAAAAATCAAAACATAAAGCGGAAGCAATATTAAAAAAAAAAAAACCCACAAAACTGCTCTGCTGAGATATTCTGATCTTCAGAATTGGGGCGCGCTCTATCGCAACAGCCGAAATAAAATCATCTCCTCAGACGTCCCATGCATTTTGTCTTTTATATGGGAAGGGATCCTACAGGAAGAAGAGGGGGAGCTCACCTGCCTCGCGGGACCCCACCTCCTCTGGAGTCTGGGTGCCGGCTCTCACCACCCAGAACTTCTGGAGTCCGTCCTGACCCTCGCTACAGAACGAGAAGAGAGATTGGACCTTTGGCGGCCCTGGCCCGGCCTCTACCCGCCCACCCGCTGCAGCACGCAAGGCTCCTCACCTGGTGGAGACGCAGACCTGGGGCTCCATGTGGGAGGCATACTGCAGGGGCCCTACTGACTTGGCACCCATGGCATAGCGCGCTTTGGAAAGCGAGAGCCAGCCCTGGGAAGAGAGAAGAGAGAGGTGAAACGAAGTAACTTCCGTGCGAGTGCCAGACCGCCCTCCCGCCCTAAGCTCCCACCTCCTCCACCCGGGCGTTTAGCGCCTGCCGCTTCGCTTCCAGTTGCTCCAGGTCTCCGAGGAGCTGCAGGAGAAGGAAGTCCAGCTCGGCCCGCAGATCCCGAGAAGCCATCTGCTCGGCTGAGTCGAGAGCCGGCTCCTGACAGGTCGCCCAGTGAGTGTCCGCCGTCCTAGCAGGACAGCCAACAGGCGTGAGAGGCCCGCCCTCTCGGGGGCGTTCCTAGTCGTGGGTGGATTGTGGCTGCCTGCTTTGCGCTTTTCAGGATCAGCGCCCTCAGAGCTGCGACCCTGGAAGTGATAACCTTCGGCAGGCAAGCATCCGAAGGGGACCAGCCACCCGGACAGTCGGCAAGAGCTGTGGGTATCCCCGAATCACTTCTGGAAGCGGCCGCGATTTAAATGCAGGGTTGTCGGAGTGGTGATGAAACGAGGCGTCAATTTTGAAGGAGGGGCGGCTTTAATTTCAGAATGGGCGGGTAGGCGATCATCTGGTCAATCGCTGTACAGCTTTTACAGCTGCTGGAGCCTACAGTTATGGTTATTTTAGGGGCTCCCCACCTTCAAATCGAACATTCGTCTCCTCGGGTTAGGTAGTGAAGCCGCGGGTTGTCGCCTTTATTAACTGCCGTTCTAAGCCACGTGACAGCACCTTGCCACCCTATCCTGCCTATTGGTTGCTTCAGTGAGCACGCGCTTCAGTCTGGCCAATCGCTTTGCGACTCCCACTCTCTGTTCGCCATTTTAACTTCGGGCATTGTCGGAATCAGCGGAATCCAGTGAGGTCTGTACGGACTTTTGGTTAAGGGCGGAAGCGAGGACTGCGGAAGCGAGGACTGCGGAAGCGAGGACTGCGTTGCGCAAGCGGTATCCAAAAATTCTCCTGGACCCACGTGGAAGTTGCGCTCAGGATGGTAGGAGGGATGTTTTAAACTCCTGTTTTGGAGGTTGGGGGCTGGTGGAGGCTGGGGCTGTGGCCGGTGGGGTCTGGGCGTATGTTTCTGGAGCCGCTTTGCTTGGCGAAAACCGGTGTCTGAATGGGCCCGCTGTTTCCCAGCTGCGCCGCGAGGCCCGCCTTCGCCGCGAGTACCTGTACCGCAAGGCGCGAGAGGAGGCTGAGCGAACGGCCCAGGAGAGGAAGGACAAGGTTCGGCGCGCGCTTGAGGGTACGTGTGTCCCCCGCTCTCCGATCTTTTCTAGAGACCTTAGTTTTAAAACCCAACGGGAAACAGGCCCCAATGCTGTAAAACGCGTTTAATTAGCATTTACTTACGTTAGTGTGGTGAGTAGTTTTTCACGTATTTACTGGTCATTTCCCTTAACTGTTTGATCTTCCTCATGGTTTGCAAATGTTCCTTTCAAGATGATATGAATTGCTTGTCATTTATGTTACAGTATCCAGAATTTACAGCTTGCTTATTTTATTTACAGTGTCTTTGTTGTTTAGTCGCTAAATCGCAGTGTCTAGGCCTTTCCAGATTTAAACATTTCACGTGGTCCTATACATATTTTCCCTGCGTCGTTTCTGTTCTTGCTCCCTATTTTCACTACAAGGTAATATCTGATGGTCTTTTACTGCTGTTACAAGTCCCTTGTATTTGAAAACTGTTACTTTGTGTAGAACTTAATTTTATTTGCGTTGTAAATTAGGAATTTAACTTTGCAATATTTTGCCCATTTTCCATTTGCCCTACTGTTAAAAGAGTCTGTCACACATGCCTGATTGGAAATGCTTTATTTATATGTATCTTGTTGGTTCCTGTGTTGGTGGAGCTCTTATTTCCTGATAGTACATCAACTCAATACTTCCGTTTTAAATTCACTTTGATCGTCTTAGAGTTTAGGCATGTAAAGTATTGTAGTATGTGTATGTATGTTTATGTCAAGCATAATGTAAAACAGAGCTTCTCAGTGCTAGTGGTAAAAGAATCTACCGTGCTGATGCAAGAGGTGTGGGTTTGAACCCAGAGTAGGAAATGGCAGCCCACTCCAGTATCCTTGCCTGGAAAATTCCAGGGACAGAGGAACCTGGCGGACTACAGCCCATGGAGCCCATAGAGAGTCCATTGTGGCTGAGCTCCTGATGTGATGACCTGTCTGCTCACCTTAAGAAATGAACAATGATAAATATATTGAAGTTCAGAAATATTTCCCCCAACTTAGAGAACCACAGTGTTGAATATTGATTAAAAATAAGCCATTTCCTTCCTCTTCTTTTTTGTCTGTATCATGCTTGTTTGTAATATAAAATCATATTGGTTGATTTTAGGTGGTATTAGGTTTTGTATATTCTTTTGCCACCTTATGTTTTTGTTTGGCATCATTTCTAAGATCCATTGAGTGTAGGTGGGGCTCCTGCAGGTGCATGTTCCACAGGGTCTTCATCCAGTTCACTGTGGGGAGTGGACAGCTCATTTTTAGTTTGGGTCAGCCCTGCTGCTGTGAACACTGTCTCCAGTGTGCAAGAGTTTGCCCAGGGTATGTTAGAGAGAAGGGCTGGGTTCAAGGACATGCTACAAAGTGGGCATGGCCACACAGCCCAGCTCTTCTGCCAAATCTAGCTTTAGTTCACAGAGGGAACCTCTGACAGAGCATCACGATTAATTATTTTAATGTCAGAGGGTTTGAGGGTTTCTGATCCACCTTCGTATAGAATGAGTAGTTTCCATTTATTTCTTTTAACATTGTTAATTTTTTTCTGACTACAGAGGGAATGCTTACTTGTGGTTAGATATTTTAGAAAGCTCTCAAGTCTTGACACTCAGGACCCATAGTAAATGAAATCACCTATAAACACTCTTAACAAGGTGGCATATAGCCAAAAATAAATCGTTTCATTTCCACCTCCGTCTCTTGATTACATATCAGCTCTCTGCTCAGAACAGAGTAAAGGGGTGTTTTTCCATCAAGTTTGTACAGTGTTGTAAAAACTGAAGGTTCTGTGCATGTCTCTCTCAACTTCTCTGTCTTCCCTCTGCAGAGAACCGCCTGATTCCCACCGAGTTACGCAAGGAAGCTCTGGCCTTACAGGGGGCCCTGGAATTTGACGATGCCGGTGGTGAAGGTAACCTTCCCTGACTCTATGGGCCAGCTTCTCTTGCTGCACTTGAGCCCACTAACTTCCATGTCATTCTTGAGACACCTTGAAGAAAGGCTGTGAAGCTCCTGATCCTGAGACTGTCCTCCAGGCACGCTCATGGCTGTGCACAGATGACGCCTCAGGGGCCCTCTCACTGAGTGCTCCCAGTTGTGTTCACATGACACAGTACTACCCCACTTTGTACTTTGTCTGTTAATTGGCCCTCTCACTAGGAATGTAGGCTCTGCTGGGGCAGAACAGTGTCCATTTTGTTCATTCCTGTGTCCTCAGCTACCAGGACTTCATTGGTATCCAGATGTGTGATTCATTGCATCATTCAACAAATATGAAAGGAATCACAGCATAAATTTTTGCTGTGAGGTAAAGGAGTCTGTTACTCTTGGCCTTAACAGAGTCTGGACTTGTGCTAACATGGTAGCTGCTTGTTCCATGTGATTACCAGAGGTTAAATGAACTAAAATTAAAATTAAATAGATTCAATTCCTCGATCACACGTGTGCTTGTAGCCAGTTTGGCTAGGGGCCACCCTGCTGCCCAGAGCAGGTACAGAGCCTTTCCATCCTTGAAGGTATTGTCAGACAGTGTTGTTCTAGGTGGATTTGACCTCCGCAAGTTAGCATTTCATTTTCCTCGGCAATATCGTGTTCTTGTGCCTCATGCTCCTAACAGGTGTGACCAGCCACGTAGATGATGAGTATCGATGGGCAGGGGTTGAGGATCCCAAGATCATGATTACAACCTCCCGAGATCCCAGTTCCCGCCTTAAGATGTTTGCAAAGGTATGACAACAGGCGTGAGTGGGAAGGTGTTCAGACACTCGGAGCCCCAGTCCTAACCAGAGGGAGTTCACATGCAGGAGCTGAAGTTGGTGTTCCCTGGTGCCCAGCGCATGAACCGTGGCCGGCATGAGGTAGGAGCTCTGGTGCGAGCCTGCAAAGCCAATGGGGTCACTGACCTGCTGGTTGTCCATGAGCATCGAGGCACACCCGGTAAGGCTGGTGGGAGGGAGCTCGGTGCTGCGAGGGTAGCTGGCTCGGAGCAGAGGGTCTCTGACGGATTGCATGGCCCTGCCAGTGGGGCTCATTGTCAGCCACCTGCCCTTTGGCCCAACTGCGTACTTCACACTGTGCAACGTAGTCATGAGGCATGACATCCCTGACCTGGGCACTGCATCAGAGGCCAAGCCTCATCTCATCATGCATGGATTCTCCTCCCGCCTGGGTAAGCGGGTGAGTCTGAGGCCATGGGCTGGGGGGTGGGGGCTCGAGGGTTCCATGCCAGGCATTTGAGGCTTTTCTTCCTGCTGCCCTAGGTCTCTGACATACTCCGCTACCTCTTCCCTGTGCCCAAAGATGACAGCCACCGGGTCATCACCTTCGCCAACCAGGATGACTACATCTCCTTCCGGTGGGTCTGTTGACCCGGCTCAAGTGATGTCCTGAGCTTTATGTCGCTGTACTGTTAATTGATCATCCTGCAGCTGCTCCCTGCCTCCCCTCAACCCTGCCCTGTCCCCTCTGCCCCAGGCACCACGTATACAAGAAGACCAACCACCGCAATGTGGAGCTGACTGAGGTTGGACCGCGCTTTGAGCTGAAGTGTGAGTTTGAGGCTTTCTCCTACACCTGGTGGTGGGCAGTGCTGGATATGTAGGTGACCGTATCTCATCCCCTTCCTCCAGTGTACATGATCCGCCTGGGCACGCTGGAACAGGAGGCCACTGCAGACGTAGAGTGGCGCTGGCACCCCTACACCAACACCGCACACAAGAGAGTCTTCCTGAGTGCTGCGTGAGCCCACTCACCAGTCAGGATGTGGCCCTGGACCCGGGAGGTGGGGAGAGGGCAGATGAAATCTGATTGCCACGGCACGCTGTTTACCTCCTAAGCGGTCAGGGCAGGTCTGTCTGTTGAGTGTGAAAGGTGTGGGGTCTCCTCAGGTGCGGACCTCACAGCTCCGGGACGTCCTCAGGCCCGGTAGTGACGTGTGTAGGACAAGGCAGACCTGATGGGGTGACAAGCTCCTGGGCTGTTGGGAGGGTTTGGTGCTACCCTGGGAGATCTGGTGCTGCTGTTAGTGACCCTGTACATTCTTCATTTGGGAATGGGAATAAAAATGTGAGTGCAAAAGTTTCACAGCGGAGATTGGCCCTGGGGACCAACTTTCAGCCAGGGCAGGCAGAAAATAAACAAGATGCAAACCATTTATTCATTTCATTGTGGTCTCCTTTGAGTGTGATTCAAGTTCCTCAGAGAACCCAGTGCACTTGGGTTCACCAGCAGTGGGAAGCATATGGCCATCTTTCCCTTTAAGGATCTCTTTAGGATCTCCTTAGATTACTGAGGATATCTCTTAAGTTGTCCAAGATGTCTGGTATGTGAATTCACCAGTTTTTGATGGGCACAGACTCAACTTGTTTCCTGTTTTTATAATCACAAACATTGCTTCAGGAACACTGAACATAATGTCTGTGCATATTTATGTAAGTATATCTGATGAGTAAACTGCTGCAAGTGGAATTGTGTCTTGAAAATGATTATAGATGCTGCTGAATTGTCCTCCAAGAGGCTGTCTCTTCCAGCCACTGTCAGTAGACCTGAGTGTTTCCTGTGTCCTTGTGAGCACTGGGGAATGTCAGACTTGGCCAAGCTCTAGGCACAAAATTGTTCCTTAACTGAATTTGTTTTTAAAATTATAACAGATGTTAGTGTTAGTTGCTCAGTTGTGTCCGACTCTGCAACCCCATCGACCGTACCCCACCTGGCTCCTCTGTCCATGGGATTCTCTAGGCAAGAATACTGGAGAGGATAGTCATGCCCTCCTTCAGGGGATCTTCTGAGCCAAGGAATTGAACCTGGGTGTGCTGCATTGCAGGCAGATTCTTTACCATCTAATCCACCAGGGAAGCTTGTAACAGATGTCATACATCTTCAAATATTCATTGACTATATGTGTGTTCTCTGTGACCTGTTAGCTCTTTATAGAAAGTTGTTTACCTCTATGTTGATAGATTGTTTTAAGTCTTTTAATTGTGGAGAATTCCAAAATAAGAGCAGAGAGGACTGTATAGTGAGTCCACGAAGCCCATCTCATTGACCAGTATCCTGGTGGCTCAGCAGTAAAGAATCCACCTGCCAGTGCAGGAGACGGGGAGACACAGGAGCCATGGGTTTGATCCCTGAGCCAGGAACATCCCTTACAGAAGAAAATGGCAACCCACTCTAATATTCCTGCCTGGGAAATGTCTTGGACAGAGGAGCCTGGCCGGCTACAGTCCATGTGGTTGCAAAAGATTTAGCAACTAAACAACAACCCACTTTGTGGCTGTATTCTCTCCCTATATCTGCTCCACCTGTTTATTTTGAGGCAAACCCCAGATACCATATCATTTCATCCAAAAGTATTTCCATACAGCTCTAAAAAATAAGACTCAACAAAAATAATATAGCACTGTCACACTTAAAAAAATCAATAGTTATTCCAGATTCTACTCTACATATCCAGTTAATGTTCAGTTTCCCTGATATGGTATGTTCATTTGAACCAGGATGCAACTTAGGTGCATTTCATTGCAAATGGTTGACAATTCTCTTGTCCTTTTTAAAACAGCTTTATTGAGATAATAATGCACGACAACACCATTCATTTGTTTAAAGTATACAGTTAAATTTTTTTTTATTATATTCACAGGGTTGTACAGTCATCACCACAATCTAATTTTAGGCCATTTTTGTCCCTTCTGAAAGAAACTCCATACCCTTTAGCTGTCACCTCTCATTCCTGTCCAACCTTCTCCCAACTCTCAGCACCTTGTAACCACTAACCTACTTTTGGTCTCTATAGATTTATTTGCCTACTCTGGACGTTCCATAAGAACTGTGATAGAGAAGAATCTTGTATTCCATTACAACTTATTAACTAAAGGGATGTTGCCTCCAAACTTAAATTATACATAACGGCCAGTCTCTGGGAACCTTGCTTCCAGGTAATGAGTGTTAGGCTAAAATACCTTTGTTTAGCTCCAGGAAACATCCTGACCAGGCCCAGCTGTTAATGACTGCAGGAAGGAGGAAATTAACACATCCCCTCTGGAGGCGAAAGGGAACCAGGAAGTGTTTGACTTTTCTCTGTCCCCTTTTGGTATAAAGGAGCCTGAATTGAGACTCAGGCAAGATGATTGAAGCCCATTATCTTGGTTTGCTGGCTTTCTGAATGAAGTCTCTGTTCCTTGTCTGACTTATCTCGAGCCCGCCTGTTGTGCAGCAAGCTTAGTATGTATGAGCTACACTCAGTGACGGGATGGAATTGTATGGTTTGTAGTGCTTTGTGACTGGCTTCTGTCCACTGAAGAATAGTCAGAACCTGAGAGTAAAAAGTTATTTTATTTGGTGGGAATGTTTAGGACTTCAAGCCTGGGAAACAGCATCTTAGCCAGCCCTGAGGAGCTGCTCTGAAGAGGCTGGAGAGGGAGGCACGCTGTATATAGAAGCTTGCAACAAAGAGGGCAGGCAGTCCAAAATCAAAGATTATTGTTAATTAAGGAAAACCAGATGTCTCAAGGAACTTATTGCTCTTCTGTATATGGGAAGATGCAAATTTCTGGGCTCACTGAACTCTTTCCTTTCATATGCACTTCTGCTATCTGGGACCAAATCCCACAATCTTGGTTTTTGAGTGTTCACATCTTTAATTCCTCTTTCATCGAAAGGGGTGGCAGAAGACTGCTGCTTTTGCTCACATCCAGCACCCCCCCCCCCGGCCCCCACCTCCAAGCTCCTTAGCAATCACTGTGGGGGCCGGGGCAGCAGCATCTAGTAGATCACAGGCATTATTTTCCCTTTTGGGAGCTCATTCACGTTTAGAGGCCTGAAATCACTGATGGCGGTGATATTCTTGCCCACTGATTTGGCAGGAAATATTTCACACTTCTCTTGTTTTCAAACTTTATGTTGTAGTATGTATCACTAGTTCATTCCTCTTTGTTGCTAGATAGTACTCTATTCTATGTGTGTAAGGTGACAGTGGCATCAGGCAGAGAAAAATACATTCTGGGAAGAGAGAGGGTGACCTTAGATACCCATGCTCTCCCTTTACAGCCCACCCTTCATACCCTGTCGGTGGGAAATTGTGCCTTGAAGGATGGGGTCCTTAGTTCAGCTCACAGCTGGGGTCCTGTGATCATGTATTCGGAGGGGTCTCATGGTCGGGTGGTCATGTCTCAGTTTTCAGTTCAGTCGCTCAGTTGTGTCCAACTCTGCGACCACATGGACTGCAGCACGCCAGGCCTCCCTGTCCATCACCAGCTCCCAGAGTTTACTCAAACTCACGTCCATTGAGTCCATGATGCCATCCAACCATCTCATCTTCTGTCGTTCCCTTCTCCTGCCCTCAGTCTTTCTAACCATCAGGGTCTTGTCAAAGAGTCACTTGTTTGCATCAGGTGGGCAAAGTATTGGAGTTTCAGCTTCAGCATCAGTCCTTCCAATGAATATTCAGGACTGATTTCCTTTAGGATGGACTGGTCGTATCTTCTTGCAGTCCAAGGACTCAAGAATCGTCTCCGACAACACAGTTAAAAAGCATCAATTCTTTGGCGCTCAGCTTTCTTTATAGTCCAACTCTCACATCCATACCTGACTACTGGAAAAACCATAGCTTTGACTAGATGGACCTTTGTCAGCAAAGTAATGTCTCTGCTTTTTAATATGCTGGCTAGTTTGGTCATAACTTTTCTTCCAAGGAGCAAGCGTCTTTTAATTTCATGGCTGCAGTCACCATCTGCAGTGATTTTGGAGCCCCCCCCAAATAAAGTCTGTCATTGTTTCCACTGTTTCCCCATCTATTTCCCGTGAAGTGATGGGACCAGATGCCATGATCTTAGTTTTCTGAATGTTGAGTTTAAAGCCAACTTTTTCACTCTCCTCTTTCATCAAGAGTCTCTTTAGTTCTTCACTTTCTGCCATAAGGGTGGTGTCATCTACATATCTGAGGTTATTGATATTTCTCCTGGCAGTCTTGATTCCAGCTTGTGCTTCATCCAGCCCAGTTTTTCTCATGATGTAGTCTGCATATAACTTAAATAAGCAGGGTGACAATATACAGCCTTGACATACTCCTTTTCCTATTTGGAACCAGTCTGTTGTTCCCTGTCCAGTTCTAACTGTTGCTTCCTGACCTGCACACAGATTTCTCAAGAGGCAGTTCAGGTGGTCTGGTATTTCCATCTCTTTAAGGATTTTCCAGTTTCTTGTGATCCACACAGTCAAAGGCTTGGCATAGTCAATAAAGCAGAAATTGATGTTTTCCTGGAACTCTCTTGCTCTTTCGATGATCCAGTGGATGCTGGCAATTTGATCTCTGGTTCCTCTTCCTTTACTAAAACCAGCTTGAACATCTGGAAGTTCATGGCTCACATACTGGCTTGGAGAATTTTGAGCATTACTTTCCTAGCATGTGAGATGAGTGCAGTTATGTGGTAGTTTGAGCATTCTTTGGCATTGCCCTTCTTTGGGATTGGAATGAAAACTGACCTTTTCCAGTCCTGTGGCCACTGCTGAGTTTTCCAAATTTGCGGGCATATTGAGTGCAGCACTTTCACAGCATCATCTTTTCAGATTTAAAATAGCTCAACTGGAATTCCATCACTTCCACTAGCTTTGTTTGTAGTGATGCTTCCTAAGGCCCACATCGCATTCCAGGATGTCTGGCTCTAGGTGAGTAATCACACCATCATGATAATCTGGGTCGTGATGATCTCTTTTGTATACTTCTGTATATTTATGGCACCTCTTAAT